CTTCTCTAAGATGTCCACAGACAATAACCTTAGTCCTTACTCCTTAGAGATTGATAATTTTCAATCTCTTTTTTATTCCCTCTACCTAGATTGTTTTTTCAGCCAGGACTAACAATTCCTGAAAATTAACTTTAGATGGATACCTCACAACAGTCGCCTTAAAGATTGATACTTCTCATCCTCTTTTATGTTTCCCTCTCCCTAGATTGTTTGTTAGGCCAGCTCCAACAATTGAATGATAAGGGAAGAACAATAAAACATGAGCAAGACAATATTAGCAGTTGTTCTGGAAATCCTGGTTGTTGATAAAATGTTTGACTAGGACTTTCAACTTTCCATCGATGATCATCTTAAATCCAAATGTAGATTCTTGAATTATAAATACTTATTGTCATCCTAGATGTGTGTAGGTTCATATTTGACATAAAGTTCATGGCATAAAAATGAGTATACTTACACTGCAAGTATAAGGAAGTATAACCTTGCACTGCAAATAGAAAATAATTACCCAAAGTATATGACAGCAATGGGGGGGTTAGTTAATATTAGATAACAAGATTAATTCACAATCTATTCTATATAACTTTGAAAAGTATTTCGCCCATCCAGAAGTACTAATATAATTCCAAGCTAAGATTAAAAAAAGGAACTAACCTTGTTGCCTATATATCCCATGACACCAACACCAACAGAAGATACATTTAAGTTCTGTATATGCCTTCGCAAGCTTCTACGAACCCAGATGGTAATGAAAACTCCGACCATTTGCTTGCTTACTATTTTAACGTAAGGGGACCTTTTTTTCCGTTTTAGCAGGCTTTCAAGGTCAGGTTCGGCAAGTGAAGCTATATCTGATCTCATTCTACTTTCTCCTGCCATATTTGACTTGAAAGAACTATATGTCTTGAAAGATTTCGAAACATTGAAAGATTTGAAGGAATTATTTCTCTCTAAAACATGCTGACCCAAAAGATGTAGAGGTGCCTCTGGCCAGCTTAAGCCAATCCGTTCTATCCCACTTAGTGTTCTGGCTAATTTATTGATGTACTGGGTGCTTGGCAATGCTACGTTTTCTTCAGAATCCTCTGTCCTGAAGCAGTTCAATCTGTCCAGCATAACTGGAGAAGAAAATTGGCGTTGCAACTCCGTTTCAACTGAAATTCCAAAGTTGTGTTTGTCAATTGAAACAGGGCCATCAAGATCAACAACATTTTCTCCTGTGACTGTTCTATCCTTGATTTCAGTAACAAAGTTTGATTCTTCATTCAGTGGGCAGATTTCTTCCTCAAAGTCACTGTCAGTCTGTAAGATTTCATCTATGTTTGGCGCTTCTTCAGATGGCTTAAACCTTGAAGGAGAAGGAGGATTACTGTAGCATTTGAATTCAGTGACAGGCGGAATCTTGTTCAGAGTTTCACGGATTATGTTTTCCCATATTGAAACTGGTCGCCTGTCTTCAGCGCCAAATATATTACCAGCATTTAATGGTATAATCTCCTGAAGGCTGTGTATATAAATGCATGCATCAAATGAAGCACAAGGATTTCGTAGCCACATAAAATAAAGTTAGTGCAAACTTGGCTATTTAAAAAGGGTTTTATACATAAAATGTGTAGGAAATTCAACATCAATAACACGACATATCAAGATCAAGAATTTTACTTCATTTAATTTGCTTCATAAATACAATCTCGTGACTTGACTTCGATTGTTAAGGACTGATAATGAGATTGATTTCTAGAAAACTATCCTAATTTTAGTAGGTGTCCTAGATAGAAATAGACAGGCATTATAATTAACTATTGGAAACTGACATAAGTGAAACAAATGAACATGGAGACTCTTCTAATGTAGATTACAAGCAAGAAGCATCCAAAATAAAGATATAGTGATGAACTTACCCAATTACGTATACATCAGCAGGCTCATCAATATCTAACCAGCCATCTAGATCTAGATCGTCTGGAGGAACTCTTCCTCCAACATTCCATGTGCCCGCACATATTCTAGCAAAAGACAAGACATAATAGAAAGAAGAAAGCTATTCCACTAACTCAACCTAATAATGCTATGATGCTTGCATTAATAAATTAGCTTTAGCATTTTAACATCAAAATGCAAGGAAATCCCACCTGATTTCCTTAGTGTTTATGTACTGAGCCCTAAATGTCTCTGACTTTCTTCTTATCCTGGGAAGAGCCTCTGGAATACAAAAGTGCATTAGTATATTACTAATCCCCATTTAAAAATTAAGGAATTTGAAAGTTTGATTCAAAAATAAAGGTAAATATAACTATAAGCCTAGTAGATAACA